TTTTCACAGTATGGCTATCACTTGATTAAGAAAAAATCAGAAGCACTTGAACAGTTTAAAGTCTTTAAAACTGAGGTTGAAAAGCAACTAGGAAAAGTGATAAAGGTGGTACATTCTGACTGTGGTGGAGAGTATTATGGTAGATATCATTCTACTGGGCAACACATAGGGCCTTTTGCAAAATACTTGCAAGATTGTGGAATTGTTCCACAACACATCATGCCTGGTACTCTTGAACAAAATGGTGTAGCCGAAAGGAGAAACCGCACCCTTAAGGATATGATGAGAAGCCTGATGAGTAGGAGTAATTTACCAGAATTTTTATGGGGTGACACTTTGAAAATAGCCCTCTATATACTTAATAGAGTTCTTAGTAAATCAGTTCCAAAAATACCTTTTGAGCTTTGGACAGGTAGAAAACTCAATTTGAACCATCTCCGTTGTTTTTTTATTGGATATCCGGATTGATCTAAAGGATACAAATTCTTTTGTCATGGTAGAGGTAATAAAATTGTAGAGTCCATGCATGCAAAATTCCTTGAGCTTGATGTTGCTGAGCTTGTCACTGCATCAGATAAGATTAATTCTGTTATGTCTGATGTTGTTACTTTGTCACTGCCTAATTTTGATAATGCTAAATCATCCACGGCTCATGGAGGTTTTGCTCCAAATGAGAATGTGGCTGAACATCCAGTTGAAGATGTGGTTGAACCACTTGTTGAAAATGTAGTGGATCCTCCTATTATAACTGAGGTTGCATAACCTGATGAGCCAGTTGAGCAAATTCATGTTAGAAGGTCAGTAAGACAAAAGCCACCTGCTATCCCTGATGATTTTATAGTTTATCTTAGTGAGGATGCTTATGATGTTGGTATTGTTATTGATCCTAAAAACTATCTAGAAGCTATTACTTGTTCTCAATCTAGCATGTGAATAGATTCAACACATGATGAAATGAAATCCATGGTAAATAATGATGTTTGGGAACTATTGAAGTTACCAAGAAACTGTAGGGGAGTTGGATGCAAGTGGATATTCAAAACAAAGAAGGACTCAGAAGGTAAAATTGAGAGGTTTAAGGCAAAACTTGTGGATAAAGGTTTCACACAAAAGAAGGGGATTAATTACAATGAAACTTTTTCTCCTGTTTCCACTAAAGACTCTTTTAGAATCGTTATGACCCTTGTAGCACATTTTGACTTGGAATTGCATCAGATGGATGTTAAGACTGCTTTTCTGAATGGTGATCTTAATGAGGAGGTGTACATCTAGCATCTTGAGGGTTTTGTAAAAAGTGGGGATGAGCACTTGGTTTGTAAATTAAGAAAATCAATTTATGGTTTGAAACAGGCTTCTAGACAATGGTACTTGAAATTTGATGAGCTGGTAACTTCATTGGGTTTTGAAGAAAATAAAGTTGATTAGTGCATCTATCTTAAGGTAAGTGGGATAAAATTCATCTTTCTTGTGTTATATGTTGATGATATTTTGCTTGCGAGTAGTGATCTTGGTCTACTTCATGAGACCAAACTTATGCTAACCAAGTTCTTTAATATGAAGGACCTTGGTGAAACATCCTTTGTGTTGGGAATCGAAATACACAAAGATAGATCATGTGGTGTACTTGGCTTATCGTAGAGGGCTTATATTGATAGAGTACTAGAGAGGTTTAATATGCAGAACTTTAAGCCAGGAGATGTTCCAATTACTAAATGAGACAAATTCAGTAAAGATCAATGTCCTAAAAATGAGATTGAGCGGGCAGAAATGAAGGGAAAACCCTTTGACAGTGCATTGGGCAGTCTGATGTATGCTCAAGTATGCACTAGGTCTGACATTACTTTCATAGTTGGCGTCTTGGGACACCAGTCTAATCTTGGAAATGATCATTGGATTACGGCTAAGAAAGTGATGAGATATTTGTAGAGAACTAAAGAGTATATGCTTGTTTTTAGGAGAGTTGACAACTTGAAAATAGTTGGGCATACTGACTTTGATCTTGCTGGGTGTGTTGATGATAGGAAATCTACTTCTAGTTACATTTTTATGTTGGCTGGAGGTGCGATATCATGGAAGAGTAAAAAGAAAATTGTTGTCGCCTCTCCTACTATGCAGACAAAGTTTGTTGCTTGTTATGTTGTTGCCACTCATGTTGTTTGGTTAAGAAATTTAGTGACTGAACTTCGTATTGTTGATTCCATTTCAAAGCCACTAAAGTTTTACTATGATAATAGTTCAGTTGTGTTCTACTCCAAAAATAATAAAACTTTTAGCGATTCTAAGCATTTGAAATTGAAGTATTTGACAGTCAGAGATCTTGTAAAGAAAAATGACATCGTTGTTGAGTACATTGGTACTGATTTCATGCTAGTTAATCCCTTAACTAAGAGACTTAAGCCTATTGTGTTCAAAAACCATGTTGAGAGCATGAGCATTGTGAGTTTTTTTTGATGTACTTGGTTAGTGGAAGTTTGTTCTTTATGTCATTTTCAAACATAAAAAATCACCCCGATACCACTTGTTGGAATTAATTTAATAATAATTATACAAGCATGCTCAATAAAAAAGATTAAAATTATAATCTTATATTAATGTAGAAACCACACACACACACACACACACACACACACACACACACACACACACACACACACACACACACACACACACACACACACACACACACACACACACACACACACACACACACACACACACACACACACACACACACACACACACACACACACACACACACACACACACACACACACACACACACACACACACACACACACACACACACACACACACACACACACACACACACACACACACACACACACACACACACACACACACACACACACACACACACACACACACACACACACACACACACACACACACACACACACACACACACACACACACACACACACACACACACACACACACACACACACACACACACACACACACACACACACACACACACACACACACACACACACACACACACACACACACACACACACACACACACACACACACACACACACACACACACACACACACACACGGATCTACAACATGTTAATTTATCAATAATTAATATTAGATTAATAACGATTAATCAAAACATACATGTTCAAAAAAGTATAATATATAATTTCATAATTATAAAAACACGTATAAATTAAAGGATATACAAGTTCATTATAGGAATACTTGGATCCATTGAGATAGTTTATGTTAAAGACAAATAACAAATATCTTATACCTTGTGTGCATTTTTCCTCAATTAATACTCTTAATGTCTTGAATTCTCTTTAAATTGGGAGAAGAGATAAATTACTTATGTACGGTATATTGGGGACCTAGCATATATAAGGTGATGACTAATTAGAGTTCTCATTGTTTCGAAATGAGTTTACATCTCTTCATATTTGAGATCAAATCATGTTTAATTAATTAATTAATTACTAAATAAAAATTTAAATAGTCTTTTAAACTTATTTTACCACTTAATTAATTAAAGCTCTTAATTTGATAAATAGATAATATAATTAAACTATATATGTTCACATAATAATAATTAGAATAAAATAATTAAATAATATTTAAATTAAAAAATATTTCAACCTACACATGAATCAAATCTTGATCTGACTTGGATAATGAAGTGTTAATTTTGTATATCTACTCTACCGCGGTATCGAAGATTAGTATCACCGGTTCAAAATTTCACATCATCAACTTACACCTAATTCTAGTTCTAAAACGGTACAATTATATTCAAATTAAATTATTACTATTATATAAAAATATGTAAAAAACATAAAAGTAATAAAATAAATTTTAATAACTTTTTCAAAAAGTTATAGACATAACTAAATAATAATTTTAATTTTTATATAAAAAAACATGAATAAATAATTAATTAATGTATATGTTAAATATGCCATATAAAAATATCTTATATATTACATGTAAATGATAAACTACCATTGTAAGAAAATTTTATATTTATATATTTTTATAAAATAATTAGTACTAATATTTTAGAAAATGTTAATAATAATTTTATGTTTAAAATTAAATTTCTATAGACTAATTAATTTTTTAAGTTTAAGTTCATATTAATTTATTGTTTATACATTTTACTGATATTATATTATATTACATTTATTTTTTATATTTATTATATTTTATAGATTTAAATTATTTATTTATATTCTTATTCTATCTTGCTAATTTTTAAGCAATTAAAATTTCAAATAAAAATAGTAATTAAAATAATATAATAAGATAACTTTTAAAATTAGCTTATTATATTTTGACATTTCGCAAATGGGTAATTAAAAAATTTTAAAATTTTATAAATTATATCATATCAATACATTTTAAATTCTATTGATTTTTTATATTTTTCATTTTAAATAAATAAGATATGTTAGCTCCGAAACAACATGTTCGACTTAACCCATTAAGTTTCAACTAATCCGGTCTTAATCCGGTTTTATCCTATGAAATAATTTAAAACTGAGGCGGACTCTGATGAGTTTGGGTTTGAATTCAGCCCAATTTATAAGATATGTACCGAGTCCCTGAAACATGATATATGCTTTAATTAAAAGACCGGGTTATATACCGTTCTTCAAGTATGAGGCCTATAAACCGGATTATACATAGTCCTTCAAGAGATGCATTTAAGCAAGACACCAAATTGTAAACAATACCTCAAGCATCCAAGCATGTGAGACAGCGGATCGTACAATGAGTATAGGAATATTTGTATTTAATGAAAAGAAATTGGAACCACAGAACGTGCTACAATCCTATTCACATTGATTGACAAAAAGAGAAAAGCGTCCTATTCTTTTCAATCGTGTCAGGCAAAGCAAGAGTGACATGACACACAGTACTACATTAGAGTAAAGCAACCAAACCACTCAGCTACAATTATTTTCATTTTTACTCTCTTCCATTCCAACTTCATGGCGGCCGCAGCGGTTGGTGAAGCATTTCTGTCTGCTTTCATTGAAGTTGTTCTCGACAAGCTTGCTTCTCCTCAGGTTGCTAACTTTATCATAGGAAAGAAAGTTGACGTCAGTTTGGTTCAAAGGTTGAACAACACTCTTTTTGCTGTTGAAGCTGTGCTTAATGATGCTGAACACAAACAGATCAATGATTCTGCTGTTAACAAATGGCTTGATGATCTCAAAGATGCTCTCTATGTTGCTGATGACCTTCTCGACCACATCTCTACCAAAGCTGCTCTTTCCAACAACAACAAGAAGGTCAGTACTGTTAACTATTTCTCTCGCCTTTTCAACTTTGAGGAAAGGGATATGGTTTGTAAGCTGGAAGATATAGTTGCTAGGCTCGAATACATTCTTAAATATAAAGATATTCTTGGCCTTCAACATATTGCAACTAACCACTCTTCTTGGAGAACTCCATCAACCTCTCTAGATTACCCATCTAACATATTTGGTAGGGATCAAGACAAACAGGCCATACTCAAATTACTCTTGGACGATGATGATTATGATAACATTTCTGTGATCCCCATAGTTGGCATGGGTGGGGTGGGAAAAACTACTTTAGCCCAATCTGTGTTCAACCATGATAGTATAAAGCAGAAATTTGATGTTCGAGCATGGGTTTGTGTTTCTGATGATTTTGATGAACTCAAGGTAACCAAGACCATCTTAGAGGCAGTGGCAGGGAGTTCTTGTAATATAAATAACAAAGAGTTACTTCATCTTGATTTGAAGGAAAGACTCTCTCAAAAAATGTTCTTGATTGTTTTGGATGATGTATGGACTGAAGATTATGACAGTTGGAACTCTCTTATAAGGCCTCTTCAATATGGAAATAAGGGAAGTAAAATTCTTGTAACAACCCGTATTGATAAAGTTGCTTCTATGGTCCAAACTTTTCATGCTTACCCTCTTCGGCAATTGTCTGATGAAGATTGTTGGTCTGTGTTTGCAAACCATGCATGTCTTCCTCAACAAGATTCCAATGAGTATATGGATCTCCAAAAGACTGGCAAAGAGATTGTTAAGAAATGTAAAGGATTGCCTTTAGCAGCACAATCACTTGGGGGCTTGTTGCGACGAAAACATGATATTAGGGATTGGAATAATATACTAAATAGTAACATTTGGGAAAACGAGAGTAAGATTATTCCAGCACTAAAAATTAGTTATCATTATCTCCCTACCTATTTGAAACGTTGCTTTGTATATTGTTCCTTGTATCCTAAGGATTATCAATTTAATGAAGACGATTTGATTTTGTTGTGGATGGCTGAAGATCTTTTACCGTCTCTAAAGAATGGGAAAACTTTACAAGAAGTTGGTTACGAGTATTTTAATGACTTAGCTTCAAGATCCTTTTTTCAACGTTCTGGAAGTGGGAACCAATACCAGTGTTTTGTGATGCATGATCTGGTGCATGATTTAGCAACATTGCTTGGTGGAGAATTCTATTTTAGAACAGAAGAACTTGAGAAAGAAACCAAGATCAGTACCAAGACTCGCCATTTATCATTTATTGAGTTTAGTGATCCTGTCTTGGAAAACTATGATGTTTTCAGCAGAGCAAAAAACCTTAGGACGTTTATGACAAACGGTTTTAGACTTCCTCGAGTCAACCATGAAAAGGCACTATGCATGATTTTGGAAAATTTGAAGTGTTTAAGAGTTTTGTCGTTTCAATTACTTTTACATGTTCACACATTGCCTGATTCAGTCGATGAACTGATCCATTTGCGTTATTTGGACCTCTCTGGCACAGATATACAGACATTGCCGGAGTCATTGTGTAATCTGTATAATCTACAAACGTTGAAGTTGTATAATTGTGTACAACTAACCATGCTTCCCAATGACATGCAAAATCTTGTAAATTTGTGCCATCTTGATATTCTTGGAACTAAGTTAGAAGAGATGCCTAAAGAAATGAGCAAATTAACTCATTTGCAACATCTGAGTTGCTTTGTTGTGGGCAAGCATGAAAAGAATGGGATCAAGGAATTGGGAACACTTTCAAATCTTCATGGATCACTTGTTATTAGTAAATTGGAGAATGTTACCAACAGCTTGGAAGCATCAAAGACGCATATCATGGATAAGAAGTACCTTGATGAATTATCGTTTAAATGGTCTAAAGACGCAAAGAACCATTTTACATATTCACAGAGTGAGATGGATATACTTGGCAAGTTACAGCCCGCCAAGAACTTGAAAAGGCTATATATATGTGGATACAGAGGTACGAGATTTCCAGAATGGATTGGAGATCCTTCCTACCACAATTTGACCGAGTTATCCTTGTATCGTTGTCATAATTGTTGCATCCTTCCACCACTTGGACAATTACGCTCTCTCAAGGACTTGAAAATCCGTGCAATGAGTATGCTGGAGACTATTGGATCTGAATATGGTGATTCCTTTTCAGGAATCCTCTTTCCCTCTCTTGAACGTCTGGAGTTTTGTGAGATGCCATGTTGGGAAGTGTGGCATCATTCTCATGAGTCAGATGTTTCATTTCCTGTATTAAAATCTCTTGTGATTAATGATTGTCCTAGATTGCATGGAGGTTTCCCATCTCATCTTCCTGCCATACGCAAGTTAGACATAATTGAAAGCAATAAAGTAGCCTTGCATGAACTACCCATATCATTGGAAGAATTAATAATTCAAGGAAGGGAAGTGACTGAGTCCGTCTTTGAAGCCATTACCACCAGCCTAACATCTCTTCAAATTTTAGATATCAGTGACTGTTCATCTGCAATATCATTTCCGGGAGATTGTTTACCCCTATCCTTAAAGACGCTGTCCATCAGAAATTCAAGTAATCTAAAATTTCCAAAGCAAAACCACCAACATGAGTCACTTCAGTCTTTGAGGATAGATGGAAGTTGTGATTCTCTCACAACCCTCCCACTGGATATCCTTCCAAACCTCATTTATCTTCGAATCTATAATTGTAGAAACATAGAATGCCTTTCAGCTTCGAAAATTCTTCCAAATCTCATTGATATTGATATCAGAGACTGCCCTAAATTTGTATCATTCCCAAGAGAAGGATTGTCTGCGCCCAGCTTGACATCTTTGTCTGTCACCCGCTGCCTTAATTTAAAGTCATTGCCTTGTCACATAAATACTCTTCTTCCAAAGTTAAAAGAGATGTACATATCTGATTGCCCAGAGATGGAAACATTTCCTGAAGGTGGTATGCCACCTAGCTTGAAATCACTTGATGTTGAAGATTGCGAGAAATTATTGAGGAACCCATCTCTATCTTTCTTTGACATGCTTTCCTCTCTTTCAATTGGAGGTCTATATGATGCTGTTGAGTCCTTTCCTAACAATGGTTTTGCATTGCTTCCTCCCTCCCTTACCTATCTACATCTTTCGAGAATGTATTGTGTGCACACGTTGGACTGCAGAGGGCTTCTCCACCTGACGTCTCTCCAACGATTAACAATTGGATTTTGCCCAAAGTTGGAGAATATGACGGGAGAGAGACTGCCTGCTTCTCTAATAGAACTTGATATTTATAGTTGTCCTCTGTTGGGAGAACGATGCCTCAAAAAACATTCTCAAATTTGGCACAAAATTTCACACATCCAATACATTAACGTTGACAGCAAATGGATTTATGAAGCTCAAACTTGAATTTTAAACAGGTAATTCAATTTTTTTACAACCTTGTGCTGGATTATAAATAGTTGGCCGACGCTCGTAACTGTGTTTTCTTACTTCATATAGTGAAATCTGATAATGAGAGATGTTGATACACTTTGTTTTTTCTTATATGAAATTTATGTTGAAGTAAAGTTTTATTTGCTAATGTAGTTGCCAGAGTCGCATTTTGAAGGCCTTGCACACATCCTCAGCTTTTGATGGTCTTTGCTACTGATTTGGAATGAAAGGATGCTGCCTGTTGGTAATAGAGTTGTTTGTGGTTTTACAACTTCCATGTTTTAAAGAAGTCATGGTAGCTTTTGTTTATCATTGACGTGTGGTACTTTAACATCTGGGTTTAGATTAACAAAAATGACCAAGATGATGAACTTTTGGTCGTTAATTCTGCCACCAAAAAGTTTAGTCATTGAATTTCTATGTTTGGATAATAAAAATGACGAACATGAAGAACTTTTACTCGTTGATTATGTCACTTATCTTTTTAGTCATTGATTTTCTAGATTTTGATTTTTTTTTTATACATTCAGATTTTATGATATTGTACTTTTTTGTTATATGCATATTTTATGATTTTCTTAGTTTTTATAATTAATCACTTTCACTTAAGGTGTGATATTTATTTATTTTAATAAAATTATTTTTACATGTAAAAATCATTTTTTGATAATTTATTTATTTTAATTTTTAATTTATACTCAAAAAATTTATCTATTTATTCTTTTAAGATAATTAATTAAAAATAGAGTTAAATAAATGTTACCCCTCCCAATGTATCTCTAAATTTTAATTTTTTTTCCAATTTTTTTTAAACTTTTTCCTTTAAACGTTTTTTTAAATTGTTATGTTAATAATTTTAATAATTAAATAAATGATAATAATTGTAATTTATTTAATTTAGAATCAATTATTACATATTGTAAAATATAACATTTGGGCTTAATACCCACGTTTTTTTTCAAAAGCAACCCAATACTTCAAATTCATTATGGGTAGTGTGAAAAAGGTATATAAACACTAATATTTGCTAACCCATATTCGATGTGGGACTCTATTATTTGTGAAAGAAAAAAAGTATGTTGAACCCAAGTATTTCAACAACACAATACATGCATGCCTACGTATACACTAAGAACAATTATTCTAATAGCTTTTTGGTGGTGTATAATCAAATAGATGACGGTAAGATAATGGAAAAACAATGTCAAGAGCTTCTGCAAATTAATTATGCATTATCCTTTGAATGTTCAATGGAAGCATCTGCAGGTTATTCTCAAATCTTTTATACTGTGATTCTGGTACCAATGCAAAGGTTATGTTCAATCCGCAGTGTTTTAAAATGTGTGGTATCGAGACAATAAGAAGATGCAAAGGTTATGTTCAACCCACATCTCTTTCAAGGCATGTGATTCATAAGACAACTAATTAATCAAAGTTTGGTTTGAAAATGTATGGTATCGAGACAATAAGAAAATGATTCTTGCTATACTATTAACAAACATAATCTACAGAAAATTATCAAACATTAAATCAAAGATACTATCATTCAAATATATGAAGTCATTATCATTCAAAGGGCGTTTCATAAGTGCATGTTTCATATTGAAGACAACAAAAACTCCTGCATGTTGAAGACAACAAAGACACGTTCATTTTTTAATAATCAAATTTAAATGCCCTAGCTGACATAAAGTTACTCCAACTATAAGGTGCTTCATCATCATCACCAGAATTGAAGATAACTCTCCTCCTTATTCTTCTTCTTGATATCCTTATCCTGATAGATCTTCTGGGTCTCAAAGATCCTCTTTCAACTACTGCTTGATTCTGAGGAGAGTTTTGCTTAGCCACCGCCTCTTGGACCTAGACAGCTTGTTAGACTTGTACAGCTACTTGGACCTGGACACCTTGTGGGACCTCTAGAGCTTCTTGGACCTGGACAACATTTTTGGATCTCATTTTGATTATTCCTCTTCAATGATTCTTTTCGTGTGTTGGTAAGAAAAGGAATACCATTTTTATAATGGTGCTTCTGATTCTTCCTCTTCTCTCTACTTTGAAAATCTAAATTTTTTTGTTGAAAGTCATTATTGCTTCTTTAGTTCAAAATGTTATATTCTCATGTGGAGAAATTTTATAGACTCTGCTATTGTAGCAGCTATTAAATCCATGTGAGATATCATTACTTTTGATAGTGTGGCTCTTAAAGTTCCAACATACACGTAAAATTCCACATGTTCTTAAACAAGCCACGTTGCATGTTTCCCTACTGTCACTGTGAGAATCGAAGACCATAAATATTAAGTTAACTAGGATTCACAAATCATAATTCACCATTGATCTTTAATTTATCCAAAAGGAGGAAAAAATAACGAATAAGCCCATAAAGTATGCAAAGCAATAAAGAGAATCTAAAGTTCGGAAGTTAGTTATACCTAGGGAAGGTGCTAGCATCCTAAGTATATGTAGTACTCTACAGGAACCTCTTTTCTTAATATGTTATTTGTTATCTTCTTGCTAAGGGTAAAAAGGAAAGGGAGATCTAAGGTACTACTCTTAAGTATGCTCGCCAAGACGTCGCATCGCGTGCCTACGTATCCTGACTAGGATGGAATCAGAGCATTTGTAGTTCCCCTCACTAAGGGTGAACAAAGTTTATTGATTAGTTTTAGGAGAAGATACAAGTTGTCATATTAAAGAGAATACTCAACTTAAACTACCACAAACATATGGAAGATGGATCTTTGCTTCACATTAAGAAAAGGACTCCAACTCGAATATAGAATCAACGAGTATGCCACTTACCTCCCTCAAGTGGAAAAGAAATCAACATCTTTCTCAACTATGTCATGGGGTAGGAGAATTACATCTCAACTAGGGATGACTCATGTCTAATTCTCTCATGGGAGAAAAGGGAACCTAATTGTAGTTTATCTAAAGTTGAAGCAATCCTAAGAGGACTAGCCCAAGGATACAGACTAAGTGTTAGTCTAAGGGGAGAAATCTAAGTATATACACTAAGGTAATCAACCTAAAAGGGGAATATGGATCAAGTCAAGAAGTGAGAAGAATAGGGAAATGCAAAAGAAATGCAATGCACATAAAAGTATAGTCAATAAAAAGTCCTTCCCTTGGACCCACAACAGAGGCAACCAAAGTATCAGAAGAATATAGATGATGGATATAACATGCATTTAAAGCCAAAGATAGATGATGAATACTGACATGTGATACTAGTAATATAACATTCAATCAACTTATAAAGCAAGGCATCACACCATGGACCAAGTATGCATCATGTTAAGTACAGATGAGAAACAGGTATGCAAAATACATTAGGGTAGAGAACCCTAAACATACATCAAAAGTCAAAGTAACCAAGTAAGATGGACAAAGATGAAGTGAGAACAAAGAAGGTCAGTAGCTATATCACATCATGTTAAATTCATATGAAAGATTAGAAGAGGAGAAAAAACACACAAGACATGCATCACATCAACACTCAAACAACTTCCCACACATAACTCATGCAAAACACACTTCAAAAGATTCATCATGTGAGATTAGGGTTAGGAACCAAGTAGGGGCAGCAACATAATCATGAACATAAACTCATGAATACACAAGAAAAACAAAAAGGATTAAATCCAAAAAATGCATCAAGACTAAGCAAGCATACATCATGTTCATCCTTAAAGAAAAGAAGTGTTCAAACAAGGCACAAAGCACCAATGATCAAGCAAGGCATACCATAACATCAAGGTCAGAATCATATACAAATTTATCATATCACATTTAATTCCAAAATATCAAACAAAATCCAATAAGCATCAAGCTCAAAAGGGCTAGGCAAACTCCAATCAAACCACTCAAAAAGAACAAAGATGATCATGTGAAGGAAAGAATGAGAAGATATCAAACAATGACCAACATAAAATTAAATCAAGCACTCAAATCAAGTCAATTCAAATATGTAAGAAATCATAGGCACTCACTAAGGCCATACAAGAAAGCAACTTGAGAGATTAGGTCGAAATACCAAAGGAGCAAACTCAAAACATCATCCTCTTAGGATCTCAATCAAAAATAGGAAAAGGAATAAATGATGATAAAATCAAAGCCATAATTAAGTCAAGGCAGCATGCAATCACATTCAAAAGCAAGTCAAACTCCAATCAAACACAAGCGGTCAAAGTGATTCCAAACTAGGTCAAGCATCAAACATGCTCAAACAAAGAAACGAGCTATAATTAGGCATCAAGAGAGATGGAAGAAATGACATAATGATACTCAAACAAAGGCTCTACCTCATATTAATTCAATCAATAACAAGAGGGGAGAACAAACCCTAAGTGGTTGCACAAGTGCACTCTTAACCAATCCACAAAGTTCAAGCATATCCAAACAATTAGGCATGTAATGCATCACATGAAAAATAGTTATGAGCTTCTAAAAATTATGGAAAAATGATCATGACATAAAATAGGTCAATGTTTCCTAAAAGGAAATCCTAAACATGTGTACAAAGAGTGTTCAAAACATCTCAAACATTAGGCAAGTACACAAACTAGTGATCACACAAGTTAGGCATCAAGAAACATTTCAACTAAGACCAAAATATATGAACAAGACCTCAATTGATAACTTAAATTCCCTACATACATGTGCTTATATGTGTGCAAAAGATTGATCAAGAACCAATTGGAAAAGGCATGAATTAAAGCATTGTTTCAAAGCTAGGTCAAATAAACACATCATAAATATAAATCAAAAGAAAATATCAAAATAAAATAAAAATAAAAATAAAAATTATGAAAAATTAAATAAGATGACAAAGTACTTAGAAAGTATTTTTGGGGAATTTTATAATATTTATAACTATTTAAAATAAATCAAAACGAAAAATAGAAAATAAAAGAAGAAAAAAAAAGGAAAGCAAGGGTGCATTAGCAAATGAGCAAAAGAATCAGTTA